TCTCGTCGGGGAAGGCAAGGACGGGTGTAGATCCGTTGTAGTCGTACGGATGGTCTAGATTTCACAAGTCAAGTTTAGTTTGGAGATTAGGGAAGGAAGGGGGGGAGGGGTGGGTTACCTTGTGCGAATTGGTCGTAGGCGGGTGGAGGGGGTTGGAGGTCTGAGGGTGGGGATGTGGATGTTGATGGTTCTAGGGCGGCTAGTTGGGCTTTTTGGGATGCGTCGGGGGTGGTCATGTTGATGGTGGTGGAGGTGATCGGGTGGTTAGTTGATGGTGATCGATGATTCGATGATGGGGGAGGGGATGTTGACGATCTGTGATGAAGTTGGATGTGGGGGGAAGTGGGGACAAAAGGGGGGGAGAAGGAGGAGGCACCAATAACCAATTTAGCGGCGGCTTTTCGTGATATGCACAGACATCTTCTGAACACCATGAACCACAAGGCAGTGTGATACGGTGGGTTATAGTGTGGATGTATCAACCAGACAGCGATTTTAGCATCCAGGAACACAACGATACGATTATGATATCAAATGACATCCAAAGGAACACAACCAGAGCGAACCACATGGATGAATTCAGAACTGATATACGACGGATACAGACGATGAGGATTTTGAACTCTAGAATCCGGTATGTAGGACTCTACCACAGCACCTAAATCCTCCTACTCCAGCGTCCTCAGCATCACAACCTTGTTCCAACATCTCTAAAGAAAGGCGTCCGTGTGGAGTTGTCGAGTTCTTTCTTTTCGTCGCTTCTTTGATTGGCATTTTAACCACGTTGGATCGTACCTTGATGATTCGACAAAACTGACAAAAGGAGACGTGATAAGGGCATTGCAATGAAACAAGCTATGCACGTGCAAATCCCTTGACCCAATCATTTTGATTTTAAAGACAATTAACAAGTGGAAAACGAAGAATGATCAAATAAAAGTTTGCACAATGTTTGATCTAATTTCTCTCGTAGTCTCGTGTAATAGTCTCGAATAATCTCGTTTACGGCATGAGGAGAAACGTGACCGAAGGAACAACTCTGATTGCGTGAGAAGAGAAGACGCCATATGAAAGAATTTGAGGAAACACGTTTGTCCGAAGGAATAAAGTCTAACTTTTGCAATAAGCTATACGTGAGAACATGACGACATATCACTTTTATCTGATCACTAAGAAAGTGATAATGTGCAATTGCATCAGAGATGACACGTTTTAGAGTTTCCCTTTGATACTGTAAGGGTCGATTCCAGCCACATCATCGCATTTCCCTTTTTTTTTCTTTTTTTTGTCGGAATGATTTGATCTTTGCAGCCAATCAGCGTGCTTGAATCGGGAATGCGCAATCGATAGATGAAATTTTGCGAGAAAAGGTGACAGAGAACGTGCATGCTGAGGGATGCTCCGAGGGGAGGGCGGAGAGAGAAAGAGGATAAAAGGACTTTGAACGGAAGGGGCATTTCCATCAAAGACAACCACATCAAGCTACATCTGCTACATCTGCTACATCAAGCTATCAAGGGACTCAAGTCAACACACTCCTTAACACAATCTGCTTAACACTTAATACCCTCTGCTTAACACCCTCCTGGCTAACAAGCCTGAACAAGCCCCCTCCCTCACATCAAGACGTCTGTGGAAACTTTGTTTTTTCTTTTTGGCTGTTGACTCAACGACAACATCTTCAACCGTCAACCATCAAGTCACGGGATAAGAGATCTCAACAACCGACACTCATCTCTCTCCTACTCCACACACGCACCTTTCACTCAACAACAACAACACTCTCCTGAACAATGACAGAGTACTTCACTCAGTGGTGCTTGGTCTGCGAACGACGCATCGACCACGAAGGTCTCTACTGCTCTCCGCAATGCCTGCGAAGGGACTTTATCATCCGCTCATCTGCTCCCCAACAAGACTCGTACTTTTCCCTCCCTCACAACAACAACCACAACAACAACACTACTAGTACTTACAGTCACAACCACCACAGAGCCGGCCTCCCATCTCCGCCGCTCTTCTCTTTCCCTTCCAATCAACAACCAAGCCTACACCAGAATCAGCCGAATCAACCACATCATCATCAAGGGCAAGGGATCTCGACAACCCACTCTCTCATCCTCCAACAGCAGCAACTCAACAAACACCACCAACAGACGACTCACCTCCCCTCCCCAACCTCCCCACCTCTCAACACGACACAAATGGCCTCCGCCTTTCTCTCCAACAACCACACCGCCGTCTCGTCGCTCTCGTCACCACCCTCGGAAGCCCAACTCAACGGCGCACTCCCACCGCTGCTGAAGCGGAGGAACGTGAAGATGCTGAACAAGGGGACCCCTCAGCCAAACACGAGCGTCTTTGGATTCTCTCCTCCTCCTTCTTCTACGACGTTTGAACTGGACGCAAGTCGGTTGCCTACGAGACGACACTAGAAATGGCTACTCGCATATCTCTATTGGCTGAACACGCACACAAATCAACGTATCACTACAATAACTCGCGTGACCTCTCGTATTACTATTTGCATTGCAGTTGAACAGAGTTTGGGGGCGGTGGCTGTAAAAATGGTGGAAATCTTGTGCGTGACCTGCAGAAACGTGACCAACAACAACCAACCGATGGGGAAATCAAATCAAAGCAAATCCAAAAAGAAAAAAAAGAAAAGAAAATGGAGGGCGGAGCAGCTGGTCACGCGAGACAATGAATGAATGGGTGGCATTGGCAGTGCTTTGTTTTGATTGATTTGATTTATTCTATTCTTTTGCTTAAAGATTTATGCCATTCTTCACTTTTGATTGCTTTATTCGCTTTGCTCACATTCGATACCCTTGCTATCTTGCCAATCTATCCTGTACAAAACACACATCTGCAGGGCCTTTTATTGCGCCCATCTCCACTCCCTACTTTGACTTTTGGGCTTTTCTTGTTTTTGGGTTTTGTTATATCAAGTAGCTGCATCCAACCAATCAACCAATCAATCAATCTTAAATTATTAATATACAGCAAAAGCAATTGGCATCAAATCATCCCCATCTTCATCTTTGTTCTTTATTGAACCCATTGATACTTGCAGTCGAGACCCGGATAGCCTCGGATGTGTCTGCGGATCCGAAACGTGTCTGAAGCTGTCTGAAGGCATGTTGGGAAGTGGGAGATGCTGGGGCAAAGTGGTTGTTGTTGGCATTTCAACCTCCGATGCAACAACGCATGGCATCAAATCCAAACGCGCAATTTCAAATGCCTCAAGCACCCACAACGCAAGAAGGTTATTCCCGCATTTATCCGACAAGTCTTTCTTCTTTCTTCTCATCATAGACTCCTTTTGGATCCGCCGTCTCCTTCGAGTCCGTCAACTTGAACCATCGATTATATTAGACTACCGACGGCGCTTCTTATCGCTCCCCTCCCCAAAAATAATTCCAGCAGACAAATGACAACCCCATCACCACCCACGTCCCCACCCCTCCCACCACGCACACTCAGCTCGAGACCACGCACGGAGACTTTTCGTACGAAGGGATCGGAAGGCAAGGAGGAGGAACTTGAGAATGTGAGGATGGTTGAGGAGGGGTTGAAGGAGTTGGAGGTGAGTTTATCATGATTGAGCTGTTTCGGGTGTTCTTGTGTTTGTGTGTGATCATGATCGATCGAATCCTTCTTGAGTGGATATAATATCATGGTATACAATGTCGATGGATGAGTGGATGGATGAGTGGATCGATCTATCTGGAAGACGGATGGTTTGGTTTGGATGATCTTGGTAGATCTAAAGGAGGAACGGATTGAAGGGGCAATAGTGCGCAGCATGAAGACTCAACCCAAAAACGTGCTAACACACATTTCAGATCTCCCTATCATCCTTAACCTCGCTCTCCACGCAACTCTCCGCCCAACTCTCAGCCACCACCTCCATCTCCCACAAACTCTCCAAGCTCATCTCCTCCCTCCCAAAATCCCACCCCCTCCACTCCCAATTCAAATCCCTCCAATCCCAACTCCCCCCAACCCCCACCCCCCGCGTCCTCACCTGGCTCCTCGGCCCCAACTTCCCCGTCTGGATCCCCACCCCGGACCTCAAACGCAAATACAAAACCTCCACCGAATCCTTCAAACTCACCGCCTCCCTCCTCCTGACCTCCTTCTCCCTCCTCCTCCTCCTCCTCCCCCCCACTTCCCCTTTCTCCCGCCTCTTGGACTCTTGCGGTCTCGTCTGGTGCGTGGGTTACTACACCTCCCTCACCCTCCGCGACACCCTCCTCAAATCCAACGGCACTCCAACCCCACGCTGGTCCACACCGCACCATCTCCTTTCCATCCTCCTCTCCTTCACCCTCATCGCCTCCCACCCTCTCCTTCCACCCCACTTTCGATCCTTGTTTTTGCTGTTGACCACCCTCATCGGCTGCACGCAGCATCTGCAGTACCGGACACAGAAACGGAGGCTGTACGTCCTTGTGAGTTTGGCGAAAAAGACGCCCATGGAATCGTTGAACGGGGACGGCACCACGTTGAGGCATCTGGATCTGGATTTCTTGGTGCTGCTGCCGTTCGTGTGGGGGGTGCAAGGGTTGCAGGGTTATTTGGGGTGGTGGGCGGTGCAGGTGGAGGGGTTGAGGGTGGTGGGGGGGTTGTTGTTGGTGTTGGCGGGGGGGAATGCGGTGGTCACGGGGAGGAGCTTTTTGATGAGGTTGCGGGGGGGTGCTGGGAAGAGGGAGAGGTGAAGGGGTTATCTAAGGTATTTGGTTTGGGATAGAGTGTGAATAGATATTATTATTTAGCTAGAATGCTTGCTGTAGAGTCGATTAAAAAGTGTAGGACTTTTTTAGATTATGTTACCAACAAAGCACCGAGACTTTGACAGAGACCCACACCAAAACAACAAACCGCTTTCACTCGCACAGAGACATTTGAGCGACAAAACCAGCAACCCCGCACAAAAAACACGACAAACGGCGAGGCATTCAGCAAAAAAAAAATCTCGTTCAATTTACATCTTGTGCCTCCTTCCAGAGTCGAACTGGAGACCTCTTGCTTACTAGGCAAGCGCTCTAACCAACTGAGCTAAGGAGGCATTTAAAATTTTTCGCTTGACAATATAATTATATATCAAAAGATTGTATAATGGACTTGAAACTTTTGTGGAAAGAAGTCCAATTCCATCCGTCCGTACGGAGATGTAGGTACGCCGAGCAAAGGGTCTTCCGAGGTCGCTGATCAGGATCTGCCGCGCCAAGATGCTCTCTCGCAAAAGAAGACGTACCCGGCCATTTTTGGAGCGTTTCCTTGAGGTGACGCGCCCTCGCGTTAAAATGGAGATGATTCCAAAAAGGTCTATATTCCCCATAAATACATTTAAAAAAAGGTACTTTTAAGCGAACCGACACACCATCAAACTCTCATCATAATACCCCTCGAAAACCCCACCCCTCGTCACCAACCCCATCAGACCCATGTAAACCATCAGCATCCCCAACCCGACTCCGTACGAACATTTTTTAGGTTTCAGTTTCCTCGAGGATGGGAGGACGGGAAGGTTCCAGTAGACGCTTTGGATGAAGACCAAAGTGACGATGCACAGATTTTGGAGGGCGAGGATGTAGATCATCCGAGTGAAGATTTGGGCGGGGTCCAAGTCGTTGCATGTGAGTTTTTGAAAGGTGAGGAAGGGTGAGGAGGTGGTGGTGAAAGTGAATGCGAATAGAGCGGCGATGAAGACTGCGATTTGATGGAGGAGGAGGGTGGAGAAGAGGGATGTTGAGTGGATTTGGAGGTTGTGGGCTGATTGGCGTCTTATCTGCGTTTTTTTTTATGTGTTAGTTCCAATGTGTTTTTGTTTTACTTTGAGGTTTCTTGTATCGGTTACCTGTTGGATTCTCTCCTGTGAAATATTTGTATCCGCAACGAGGTCAGTTACGTTCCTTTGCTCCTTTGATACAACAACATGTGTCATCCACAATGCTAATGCCAGATCGGAAGCGACCGTCAGCGTAGCAGTGAAAAAGAAGAAGGAAGAGTCTTGAGAGTTTTGGCGTATCTTCAAAAGACTTTTGTCAGCTTGTTGGAAGAAAGTACACGGAAAGTGAACAAGTTACCAGAACGGTTCCAATGATGACGTAAAAACTGGAAAAGATGAAACTCGTTTGAAGTTTGAAACGGTTTGTGATTTCGTGAACCTCATCGTCGTCTTCTATGGTTGTTGGAAGATCAGCCGGAGGAGAAGAGGGAGGAGGCGGTAAAGTTTTTGTATCTTGATCTGTGGGTGCGATGTCCGTAGAGTTTTTGACTCCAATTGTTTGTAAGGCAACTTGCGATTTGTTCATGGTGCTGAAGCTGACGGATAACTGTCGAAGATGTGTTTGGAGTATCGACGCTGGTTTCAATGTTTGGAATGTTTCGCGGCATTCTTTGGTGTCTCTTTCTTCCTCGTTTTCAGCTGCGTTGCTGTGGTTACCCAAACCATCCTCCGTTTCATTTTGCTGTAAAACATCTTCTTCCTTCACAACTGGCACACCATTATCATCATTCTCTTCCAAATGTCGCGCCTCATCATTCATGGTTCCAGCACCACCTGGAAACCTCCTCCCCGTCAACTTTCTTATAAGCGTTTCTCCCCTCTTGCTACCGTACTCCTCACCTTCTTCCACTTTGATGCTCGATAGCGGTACCACTTTCTTCGTTGTCCCGCGTCTTTGAATGCTCGCAAGATACTCCAGAGCCACCTTGTCATCCTTCACCATCGTTTTCATCAACGCCTTTTGCGTGTTTTTGACACTCAAAACTGCTTCGTCGGTTTGGGGGATCGGTTCGAGGGTAGACGATTTGAAGAGTGTTTCGGATCTTTGCGAGAGGTTCGATGATGATTGAGGGGGTGGGATTTTGCTGCGTTGGATGTGATCTTGGTGGTCTTTGATGATACGCTCGAATTGGAGGTGAAGCCATCGATGAAAAGTATCTAAAAAGCATATGAAATATGAAAGATTGAGTCAAGGAAATAATAAAACAGCAGTGGAGTTGAAAACGTCGATACTTACACCGCGTCACAATCATACTACCGCTTGTTACAATCGCCTTGACCAATCCTCCACCCCACCCACCCCAAACCAGCGCGTACCCAGCCACCAACGTCCCTATCGTGACCCAACCAAGAAACAGGTCCAGAAAAAACGTCAGACTCGCAAACTTCACCGACGTTTTAACCCGCGTTGCGAAAGGTATCTCCCGACTGCCTGTAACCATATTAACGAAAATGGACGCAAGAAACCCCGTGAATTGCGCAAACAAAATGGACGCCCAAAGGTGCGGTGGTTGAAGAAAGGGGACGGCTGAGAAGAAGATGAGGCTCATGCATATTCGGGTGGTGACTTTGAGGAGTGCAAAGATGCTGATTCGAGGGAATGTTAAACCAAAAGGTAGTTTGACGCGGTTGTATGGTACTAAAAAGGGACCGGAGATGTTGCAGAGGTCGAATCCAAAGATGTATACGATGCACCAAATGTGTGCGGGTTCAAAGAGGCCTGCGGAGGTGGACGAGCGCTGGAGAGGGGTGAGGGTGGTGAGGTAGTTGGAGGCCCTTGTTTCCGCGAGGACTATGAACGCAAAGGCGAGAAGGATGAAGGGGATGAGTATAAAGAGGGATTTGATGTAAAAGACGTAGATCGTCCGAAGGGCTTGGAGGATCGTGTGAAGACTGGTGGAATTGGGTTTGAACGAAACATCCGGTGGATCTGTCGGTGCATTTAGTGTTCGCCTCGACACCGGCTTCATGACGGCCGTGTCTCGACGTGTACGCGTCAGTGTCTAATGCTGATGGAGCGTGTTTAGGTTGATCGCGACGCGCTATTTCAGGGCGATTTTTATAATATCCGATCTGATGACCAATTCTTAACTAGAAAGCTTTGGGAATGCTTTTATTATGAGTATAGTGCCATATTGACGAGTTTGAACGGCAAAGGATTTACACAGGAGACGCAACGCGGCCGGAGATTTACAGTCCCCAGTTAGTAAAGTTAGAAAACTTCCATATGCTGAATGCGACGCCGTGGCTCGCTGAAACACCAGAATGGGTCATGCACGACGCGATGACCCGATGCTAAGCACATCATTCTTCAAGTCGCTCAAGAACGTTTACATCTTTCAGTTAAAGACCCTCATCCTTCTAGCACTCATCGCGATCCCATTCCTCTTCCTCCTCCTATCCGAAATCTACCTGGCCCCTCAGATTCTCCCGACTTCAAACGTGAGCTCCAGTGCATCGTCGACTTCTTTCTTTCTTCGCAACATTCAGGCGCCGGTGCTGAAATGGGCGTGGCTCTCTACAATAAGTTATGACGTTGTAAACTTCTTTGCACCGTTTTTGATACCGTATGATCGCGTTCCTCTCTTCTTTGGGATCGAGGTACCACGAACCTCGTACGGAATGATCATCAAAGTACCCATCCGACTCGTTCTGCATCTCATCTTCTTTGCAGTAGTACCACCAACAACAAGACCATCCATGTTTGTCGTCCTTCTTCAGGCGACTGGTGTTGTGGGCTCGGTCGTTGGCAACTTTCTAAGCGGTGACACCCACATACCGCGGCTGAAGAGACTGACGTTTGCTCTACGCGTTGCTGTGTTGGCCCTTCTCATTGATGTGTTTTACTTGTGGCTGCCGGCGGTTACGCTCGTGACAAGTTATATATTTGGAGGAGGATGGGATGGCGCATTTACAAAAGCCGTTTCTACAACTGCTGCCACGGCTCTTTTCAGATGTAAGTCATAAAGTGATTGTTGCCACCCCCTGTTTTGTTAACATGTTGTGCAGATATCACGAACCGCTACATCAGCATCCGATTCCAAGACATGATTGCCGAACACCAAAGGCAGCTACGCGAAAAATACTCTCGCGATATATCTGGTACATCGAAACTCAAGGCTAGTAATCAAAGCCCGGATAATGAGTCAAAGGAAATGATTCAGTCAGCTACACAGAAGTCAAGCGAAATGGAGGCGGAACTGACTCAGAATGTGCTGTTAAAGTCCATGTTGAATGAGGAGAAAAGCGTCCTGCGGTATTTCGGAAACCTAAGAGGCAAAACGACATGCGCAAAAGTGGCACCGTCAAATACTATCCTTGTTGCTAGCTCAACTAATGCTCAAGAGAATAACGACGGAAACGGGACAGTTGTTGTGAACGTTACTCAAACCGCACCCACTAGTGAGAATGTAATGAAGTTTGAGGACGTTAAGCCGGCAGGAATGAATGATTTACTCGTTAATAAGGAAGGGGAAGCTGCTGGCAGCCAAACTGTATTAGCTGAACGGCCTAGCTTGATATTGAACAGTGCAAAACAGTCGGAAGTGGGAGCACATCTACAACTGCAGCTGACAATACAAGCAGATTTAACGCGATCTCAGACCTCAATTGAACAAAGAGAAGAACAAATTCACGAACTTTCAAACCAGCTAAAGCTGTTGACAAGTTTTATCTTTGGACTTTTCTACGTTGTCTCAGGTACCGTTCTGGTAAGTAGCTAGTATTATATGCGTGCCATTCTGAATGGTAACTAAACAGGCATTTTTGCAGCTGAGACAAAGTATCGCAGATTCTCGGCTGTTCTATATCACAGCACTGTTGACTGTTTCTTCAGATTGGGTGATATGCCTATGGTATACAAACCTTATGATACGGCAAACGAACGAGCAGACAGCGAAGCAAATAGCAGAACTGGACATAAATGTCGATAACGGAAGAGTTCAAGAGGTTGCGTTGTTTTATGATGATACATACTCGTCATATCTAACGTTTCTGACGTATCTGAATAGATACTACGCCAATGCTCACGGGACATCCAGACTCTGGCTACCTCGCAGCTCGCGGCTCTTACAATCAATCAAACAGCCTTTATCATATCAGCAATCTTCGTCTTCTTCTTTACGACGCCTTCATCTCCGTTTCTCACCTTCTCACCGTCATGCGAGGAGCGAATTCAGTTAACATTCGGCCAGCTAATAGGTCGAGTTGGATTTGTCTTGGCGCTTCAAGTCACTGGTGTAGTGGGACTGTTAATCCTGCTGGAGAGATATTGGAGG